TGATATTTGAATTGGTTGCTTATCTTCTTATGGCATTGAAGTATTTAGGGGGTAAGTTGAGATATGGAAACATTTAAAAGTTCAACTTTTTTAAGGTTAGAAATTTTTTCGGATTAATTTCTAAACTTTTTTATAAAGAAAACTTTAGTTGAGGTAGGTCCCCTTCCCAATACATCCACAAAAGCTTTAAAAAAAACTAAGTGTAAATCATACGCAGAGAAAATCGTATTCATAATGCAAAAATTGCTAAATTACAAATTGTTTAAAAGCTTCGTACATTTTCAAGTAAACATGACCCACATTTCAGCTTCATAGTTTTAGTCGCTGCTGCCGTTGTTAATTTTATTTTTTCATTTATTTCACATAAATTGTTTTGTGTGTGAATTTACTTGCCGCTGCTGTAATTGAATGGAATCAAAGTGATGAATGGAAATTAAAATGCTCAGTTTTTTGCAGCTCATTAAAGTTTTTGAATTTTTAAATGAGTGATGGACCTGAAATTGGGATCTCAAAGTTATTTCTCACGCCAGCTCATCGTGAAGCTTCAAATCAATTATTAATTTTAAGGAATGGAATGACTATTGGAAATTATTGTTATTAAATCGTATCTTAATGACGTCAAAGAAAAAAATCTCAGTTGATGACGTCAACTTACTTACGATTCTGAACAATTTGATTCAAAAGCACTTAATTAGGCTTTGATTTGGCAGGTTGGTATATTCATGTTTATTGACCAAAATCAGGGTTAGAATGAATATTCGAAAGTATGTACATTAGCATTGACATTCGTTGGGAATGGTCAGGGATTTTATTTTGGCGCGTGTAAAAATTAGAAATAAATGAAAGCTTTAATTATGGTAGAAACAAAGGTTGCCGGTTTGCAGTTTGGTTTGCTTTGAATTTATTCTTAGTTCCATTATGACTGATTAAAAATTCACCTGTTTGATACAAAGATATGCTGGAACTGGTTCGTGATAGATAAATCTCTGAAAATGTTCAAAAAAATCCACGTAACACGTTCGTGACCCATTTTATTTCCTTTCGTGCGTTTCTCTATAAAAAAATTCATTTGATTTCCTGTGACACCCTCTTTTTGGCTTTGTTGTTGCATTTTACAGCTGATACTATTTTTTTTTAAATTCCTCAAATGCATTTCATACCTATGTCATTAATAAATTCCATTCTATTGTGCTTGACTGTTTACCAATCTCGTAGATATGACAACTATTGTAAGGTATCAATATTTTCTCATCAGCAATAAATCCATGTGCATTAAAGCAGAAAACATACATTCTGAAATATCTCAAATATTAGCAAAAGTAAATCATTCATGCATAACTTAAATGCATATTGTAATAATTGAATTTAGCTAAGCTCGCACTCAATGTGATGAAAATGAAACAACACAGAAAATTAAAGAAACAATTTATTTCTCGAAATAAACCCATTCAAAAGCGCATCAAAATTGAATTGCAATAGATACAGATGTCTATAATATTTCCATTTTTCTCATTCAATGCTTTAAAATTGCTTTACATAATGAGATTGTTGGACGACCTTCAACAGCGGCAGTGTATTTAGTCTCTTTTTTTTTTCGGTGTGTGGCGATCATAAATTCATCTAATTTATGTAAGCGGTATTAATCGCTTTCAAAGCCATTTCGATAACAAGGAAAGAAGAAAAAAAAGCTCATTTTTGTCTCTTTTTCACTCTTCCAATTTCATTCGCATCAGTTTTTAACGAATTTAATTCAAATGAAGAGACTTGATTGTCAGTATTTTGTCTGTCTGTCTGTTAATTTGACTAAATTTTCAAATGATTTTTGACTGTTATTTTTCAAATATTTCTTGGTCGTTAATCTGTTTGAAACAAAATGCGCTTCTGTCAGTCACAAACAACTATGGTCGCCTCTTCAATATTTTTGTTTATCTAGAAGACATAATCACACATGATGAGATGGTGATGTTGTAGTTGAGACAACTTCTCGTATTATTACTGTATTGTAATTCATAGGATGATATCTTTTCTTTCTTTTTTGAGCACAATGAGCAAACATGGTCAGTTTCTTTTATTGCTGTATCCAATATGACATAACACACGTATAACACTTCGCAGAAAGTGTCTATTTTTGACCAAACAGAAAGAAATACTCTATGTAAATACATAAATCAATCTACAATCTTGAATGTATTTAATGTTGTATGCCATGATTATGTGTGTCGTTGACAAAAATATTTGATTATTGATATCGAAGAGATGGGAATTTTTTGTCTTACATTGCTCAACTCTTCTTTGCGGATTTCCTCAGTGGAAGGACACATGACTTTTTATTACGAAGAAATTGGGTCTGACTGTTTATGTTTGTTTTGAGCTTTATCAGCTTCAGAGAGGTTTTTGACCAAGGACAGCGGTGATTTTATTTTAAATATTTGATGACTCAAGGAAGTGTTGCGAATTAATATTCTGAGAAGAGAGATTTTGACGCATTAACTTTTCATGGTAAGCTTTTTATATGATGGGGTGTTTTTACAAAACGTAGACTCCCTTCGCCAGCTACACTCTTACAGAACTGTCATAATCACATGACAAATTACCATTGAATCATATTAAGAAGCTGAAATGCATAATATGCTTCACACATGCAGCAAAACTGTAGCAGATGGTCACTTGCGAAAAGTAGCAAATGACCGACTTTTAAAGGTTGCTGACATATGCTTGCCTGAGTTGAGTGATTCATTGATTTTAAAACTTAGTTCACGCACACGGCAAAGGTCAAATATGAATGGATCAAAGTCAACTTTACTGTCTTGACATGGCTATGTTTGGAAGTGACAGTAAATGTCTTAGAAATTGATTGATTAAGAGGTTGTGGTTTTCATAGGTTAAGAGATTGCCTGATATTATTGGATTCATTACCCGGGTGGACACAGCCAGTTAAAGTCCATTATTGGACAATCATTTAACAGTCTTTTAACTTGTCGAAATATATACGATATAGAGAAGTATACGTTAACTAGATTTTAACTGGACATTCATGCTAATCAATCAAGTGTTCGAAACTCAAAAATAATTTTCCTTACTTTTTTGACCATATACTTCACAAGCGCTTACAGAAATCACTTATATAAGGTCCACCAAAATTTGTATGAAACTTTTAAGTAAATATAATTGTTTCACGCGCAAGTGTTCGAGACTCAATTTTTACTAGAGATTTTTCATAAGTGATAGTGTACTTTAATTAATTAATTACACTAATACAATAATAAAATTTTACAAAAGAAAATAATATGGAGAAAAAGACACGTGTTATTTATTTTATTTCGATTTTTTTGTAACTGGACATTAACTAGACATATTTACAATTCCTATGTCCAGTTAAATGGAAAGCGCAAAATATGTCATTAGTCGTCCCTAAGTCTAGTTGCAAAGGCACGTCAATGGATACTTACTCGCCGTGAAAAGGCAAGTCAATGGCAAGCTTTTAACTAGTACTTTGTCCACTCGGGTTAATATTTTAGTCATTTTGACTTTATAGTCGGAGAAAGGAGATCAATAAATTTCACATTTTAATGGAAGCAATAAGAATATGACTTTAGGGAAGAACACCATGAAAATAGCTAGAATTTTTGTTCTAAGGCTTTTTATTTAAAAGAACAAAAATATATCTTAAAGAACTCATAAATCATTGCCAAATATCTTAAGAATCATCCAACATTAAACCATTCCAAGACATCATTTGTACACAGAACATCGCAAAATAATAATAATCTATTAAATAGAATCGATCAAACTCGGAAGAGAACGATGATTAAGAATTTAGCAGCAGTAAAGTCCACATTTACATTTATTTCCTTATTTTATGCAAAAATACCGACACAAGCTTCTCAAAGCTTGAAGAAGGCTGAAGATATTTGTTTAATTGAGATAATATTTTGTGGTCGCATAACTTGTTTTTCATGTGATATGATTTCGGAAGGGTGTGTCAAACGTCGTTTTTCTAAGATACAGCTAAAGCAAGCAATGAGTTCTGTTTTGAAAATTCGAGTAAGTGCCATTGCTTACTTTACTGACGCTACTGTTAAAATGTAATTCATGATCTTTCTAAGTTGTTGAATAAAATTAGTCCTCATTATTGCTAATTTCCTTTACTGGACATAGTAATATCTTGGTTAGCCTTTACTTTATATGGATTTATCAACAATCAACATGACCCCTTCATAATTTGTGATTCTCCACAGCATCCTTATAACTAATCAATATTTCATTTCCATCATCATTAAGGGTCCATTTAAGCACACAGTTTAGCAGCTGTAATATTAAATTGACGCTCGATAGTCACGAGAACTGAACCATAAAGATATTTCCAAGATATATAGATGGGCTCATACAGAGTATACTAGACCATACTCGACCATACTATTTTTTGTGTACTTATACAAACAAAAATTTTTAAAATTTTCTATTTTCAAGTTTTCATTTAAATATCGACAGATGCAACAACATTTGACTTAAGTCAGTTACTTTAAATTATAGCAAAGCATTTGCAATACTCCTGTATCAACAAAACTTAACAGAAAGTTGAAAATTTTGCAAAACAAAAATTGAAAATTTTCTTTTATAGTGTTAGTGTTTTTAGAAAATTCAAATTTTTGACGTTTAAAAACTGCGATATTTTTGTATGAGCACATCTATATATCTTGGATATTTCATGACCACTCACGTGAAGGGAGCTGTGGAATGGCTTTTTTTTCTTTCTTTTCTACCGCATAAATTAATTTTTTCTAGAAATTCCCAATTCTCATTTAAATTGCGTCTCTCAAAGCTATCATTCGGCCCGAACACATGTATGCATGCTTGATGTGTAAAACATTTATTTTTTTTTATATTTCGAGAGAGAAAGATTTGTGAAAAATTCAAGCGAGCTTGCATCAAAAACATACTCAAAAGGAGCTTAAGCAATGGCACTATGAGTTTTTACACTGCCGCAGTTGAGTTTTAGTCGCGAGCGAATAAACATCGAAAGACTAAGCTGGTTCGCGACTTCAATTCTGGTCAGTGACTATTTTGTGTAACCTTTTAAAATTTGTTGTAAAAAAAGAGAAATGAAAAAATAATGAAACTTAAATGTGGGTTCGAGATGGAAATAGTTTAAAGGAATTTAGTGATGAAATTTGTTTGTGAATGAAAAATGAATCATTTTTTTGTGGCATTGCACATTCTCTGTTAGTGACTTTTGTGGAAAAATCATTGAAATTTAACAATAGGAACTTTAAGTAATCAACACTCTGAACTCCTTGTTGATAAATTATCCAGATTCTCTTGAACTTGAAGTTTTTTCGATGGTTCCTTTGGAGGCACTTCTTTTAAAATCATTTTGACATTTGCTACGTGCTGTGTGTAAAAATTGTTAAAATATGACGAGAATAATATTTTTGGATACTCAAAATACAAAATAGAGTTTACCGAAGTGACAAGAATGTGTTATGACACTTGAATCTAAATATATAGTTTATGCCTTTGGGGCTGTTCACTTATTACGTAACGCGAAAAAATGACTTCTTAGACCCCCCCCCCCCTCGTTACAAAATTTGTATGAAAAAAAAATTTCCTTGTTTGAACCGTAACAAAATCTTAGACCCCCCTCCCCCTAAAAGCGTTACGTAATAAGTGAATGGCCCCTTTCGCAATAACATCAAAAAAAACTCAAGAGCAACTGATCATAAATCTTAAATGGTTTAATTATGCTTCCTCTGAAGCAGAGCTGCGAAACAGGCACCTGTGACAGGTGAAAACCCTACAATTCCTTGATAATTTATAAGGTTTTCCTAACAAAACCATACAAATTATCAAGGAATTGAAAGGTTCTCACCTGTCACAGGTGACCTGTTTCGCAACTCTGCTCTGAAGCAATTTGTCTTAATTTCACTGTTGCAACTTTGTTGCTGTGTCTTAATTTTTAACGTCTGACAGTCACTTATCAAAAAGTTGATTGCCATGAATTCTTTGGATTGACTTTATAATTAATAATCGTTTGAATACTTCATTTATTACAAGATCAAGTAAATTAATTACTTATTTCATGCATAAGCTGTTGATTCTTGGTATTTTCTGAAGATGCTTGGTAGTTTAACTAAAGGGACGATAATTGTTTTGGATATTTGAATTTTAAGTAGTCAAAATAACAATAATGAGCCATTAAATTGATTGAAATCTTTACCTAAGTGTGTATTTTGATTTTAAAGCTTAACCTTTCAAAACAATAGTCAATTCAGTTATTAACTTTGAATATGAGCTAATATCCCTACGATTTGAATGAATTTGTGATTTTGAGTTTCCAAAACATTGAATGATAGGACTTTTAAGAGTTCTTCTTAGGGTTCGGAAATCTACAGTTATTAACAGTTAGTAACACTTATCTACAGTTATCTACAATTTGTAACTGTAGATAAGTAACTGTAGATAATTTTTTCAAAGTGGAAAAAAACGTTATTAATTTACTGAAAAAAGAGTTGAAATGCTAAAATCAGGACTGCAACAGCATGTAACAGTTCAAATAAAGTGATATTAGGCTTCATTCAGTATTTTAAAAGCGTTTGTGTGCTGATTTAATTGAAAATTAAGAAATTTTCGCAAATTTTTTTTGTTTACAAACATGTGAACAATATTTGAATTTCATCAAACCGTTACAAATATTCGATAAACAAAAAGTTGATTTTTAATAGCTAATGTTGACATTTGAGCTCTCTTAATGTATAAAAAGTGTATTCTATATATAACTTTATTAAAAAAGTCTCCAAAAATTGTTTGTTTACAAAACTTTGCAAATTTTTTTAACGGATTTTCTTCATTCAAAAAATTTATCTACAGTTTACTAACTGTAGATAACTGTAGATTTTGTGTAGATAATCTAAAAGTTGATAACTGTAGATAATCAGTTAGTGGTTTTCCGAACCCTAGTTCTTCTGCTTAACAGTACAAACTCAATGAGAAATCTATTTAAAGACTGCGAGCGTACCCGAACAGCGCAAATCTTCATCTGAAAGACTCTTGATTAAACTAATACAGATCTAGTATAAATTCAATTCAACTGCATTTGCCTACTTCTTGTCGCTCGGGACTATAAACCATTTTTATTAAGATATCAACTAAAATAATCAATTATTCAAAGCACATATTGTCGTTATTGAGTAATATATTCATAAACTTAAACAAAACTTCTCTTAAGACTTAAGACACAACAATGATCAAGAAATCTAAGATTAGTCATCGCCAATCAATCAAATCAAAATCAAATCAATAAAGAAAAGAAGAAAGTAAGAACAAAGAAAATTCAAAAAAACATCCATTCAATCAAGAAAGGAGCAGTAAATGAATAATCTATAGTCATTAAAATAATGATTCAACTCATTTGCCATCACAAAAAAGAGTTTTGAGCTACAAAATTCAAATATTAATAAAAAAAATATTCAAAAAGTTTCATTACATAAGATCAGTGTTGAATAATAGTTGAACCCAAACTAATTTTTTTCTTTCTTTTCTTGTATTTCGTGTGATGTGATTTGAACAAAAGTTAATTTAAGAAACTTGCTTTAAAAAAATTTAATCTGATTGCAATTTTCCAGTGCGAGAAATGGAATGAAATGAAGAAAAAAAATACAATTAACACTTTACGATGTTTCAAAACATTGGTGTAATTTTGTGTACAAACTTTTTGAGTATATTGTGGATGTTAAGAAGTCATTTTGGGTTGTTAAGGAAACTTAGGGATATTTTGTTTATATTAATTTATACAAAAAAACTGAATAAAATTGTAGAAAAGCAAGTTAATAACTTAAAATATAAATATCAACAAGACAGCATCTGTGAAATTGGAATGTTTAATGATACAACCACCTGGACATTTCATATTCAAGTTATTTTTAAACTTAAATATGTGAAGATTACTAGAAAAACCACTAATGTTGTAAAATATTATTCGAGATTCTAGTAGTTTAGGGTTTAAACAACAAAATGTTTTCAATAATGTCCAAAATACAACAACTTTATTGACATACTCATTGAATAACCAGACATTCTGGCGTCATTTTTGGTTATCATGTTGATAATTTGAATAAGGTTAAATCTTGTTGTTTCTTCAAAATGTCATTATATGAAATTCTTCCTATAAAGTATTTAATTGAAAGAACTTACTTCTGTCGCTGGATGTATTGATCTTAACCTTTTTGCTGTCATCTACAGATTTCCAATACCAAGTTCAAAACTGTTCATATGAATAGCTTCTTCACATGAGTCATAGTGCCCACCTTCAAACTTTCTTGATATCCATAAAGTTGGACTTAACGACCTCAACAATTACCCTTAAAATTAATGCGTCTAAGCCAATACAACTTCATTTCAAAATCCCATTTCTACCACATTCGACTCGATTTATATTTTTAATTTCATATTTTAAGTGATTTGAAATATTTCTTTTAAAAAAATACTTTTCATAATAGATACAGCATGTGAGTCACGATATTCAGCATTCTCTATTTCTTTAAAAAACTAGAGAAGGGTCATTGGTGCTGCTAGCTCAGTAGCTAAAGCATAATTGCGACTCAAAGAAAAAAAAAGCTTTGCAACAGACTTTATGCTATTACCTCACATTTTCTTCTTACTTCTCTACACAAAGTTTGTTGTCGCTTTATATGTAGGTTAGTTTGCTAGTAGTACAAACAGCCGAGAGTCTACAACATTAACCAGGTTCACTTTCAATTTTCAATTTTTCTCTCTATCTCATTTCTTGGAGGGAATCGAGCATTAAGCTTACTATCCAACAGTTCATTTCACTTTCATTTCGAATTTCTCTCGCGAATGTTGTCTCTCAATTTTTTTTTTGTTGACCAACACCAGATGGAATCAATTGAGGTCACTGGAACAAAATCTTATACACAAATATTTGTGCGTATTATATGCAATGAAGATGATTTAATAGTGTTAACTAAATGCTTGCAATTTCAGTGCCAAAGTAAATGTTATTGAAAGCTTAAAAAATGATAAAATTTTCTCACAAACAAAAGAGAATCGTTTGCTTTGTAATGGAAACAAAAGTTCAATGTCGTCATTTTTTTTCTTCTTATGTCTGCAAAATAAAAAGTTGTGTATATATCGTTCACAACGATAATGTTGATGATTGCTTTAATAATTATAATTTGTCAACAGCTATTGTGAGGAAAGATTGAGCTGACAATTGCTTTTCATTTCACAAATTATGTTTTAAGCTGAAAATGTTGAGTAAATTATGAAAGATTTCATTATTCTCTTACTTAAATTAATTTTATGCTGTTAAATGCAAGATCACCAAAGAGTTGTAAATGTTTTAAAAGTCAAGTCAAGTTCCAGCCATAGAACAAGAATAATTGAAATTCTTTCTACAAAGCAATAATTGAGAATTTAAGATTCAGTAGGAATCAAACCTTTATCCTCCAAAAGATAACCAATCAGTAGCTTAACCAATCAGAACACAAATTCCTAAACGTCTTAGGAGCATATTTGACTGAATAGTACACAAAAGTTATGATATATGCCTAAAATTCAAAACTTTAATGATTCTTGGATGGTAAAAAATAAATAAATATCAACAGCATGTGCCTAATTTTGGCATTTAAATTGACAAATCAAAGTCGTATTTTATGCGCACGTGAAAAAATCATAAATTATTTATTGTACATTTTTTGTCAATTCTTCTACGATGTAGGCTTACTAAAGACCAATGATTTTAAGATTTGCATAGAAATTGAGATTTGATTATCAAGAATTTCTAGTTTTTCGCACAGAATTCGCAGTTTTTTTTAACGATTTTGGATTCAGTTTCATTTTTATGTTAATTTTTGATTCTTCCGGAATCGAATATTTCTTGATGAGCATCGGAAAAATGAATTTGAGTGATTTTGTGATACTCAGCAACAAAAGTTTTTTAAATTCTGTGAATTGTCCCTTTCCTTCCAGTAATGTGAAGAAATCTTGGAATTCCCTGTATATATCTTGTAATATTACAAGACGTATATTCACA